AGAAAAGCACAGAAAAGATAGAATTACTGAGTCTAAGTGAAGGGAGTATGGATATTTGTCACACTCTTCTTTCAACTTTTCTTATGTCTGAATGTCTTATAATAAAAATTGGGGGAGGGCAATTCTCTATTTGGTTTGACTGTTCTAGTCTTTTCATATGAAGTTGACTGCCTCTTGGTAATCAGGAATGCTGTTCCTGTCAGCACTGTGGAGCCAGTCAGTTCAGAGGGTCTGCAGTTAGTGGGTTCAATCACCAGTCAATTAAATTTGGATTTCAGACAAACAAGTAAATTTTGTATAAGTCCCAATTATTGCATGGGATATATTTACACCAAAAGCTTCTTCATTGTTTATCTGGAATTCAAATTTAACTGGACACCCTGTTGTTTTCACTTGTTTTACTAAAACTGGCAACTCTTCTAATGAAGAGAATGAACGTGGCATAAGTAATGGTGTTTGACTGCCAGGTGGTTGTTGTTTAGTCACTAAATTTTGTCTGGCTCTTCTGCAACATTGGAAGGATTGATGCTGAAGCTGAAACTCCAATACTTTGGCCACCTCATTCGAAGAGTTGACTCACTGGAAAAGACCCTGATGCTGGGAGGGACTGGGGGCAGGAGGAGAAGGGGACGACAGAGGATGAGATGGCTAGATGGCATCACCGACTCGATGGACATGAGTTTGAGTAAGTTCCGGGAGTTGGTGGTGGACAGGGAGGCCTGGGTGCTGCGATTCATGGGATCTCAAAGAGTCGGACACGACTGAGCGAGTGAACTGAACTGAACTGAACTTCTGCAACTCCGTGGACTGTAGCCCGCCCAGCTCCTCTGTCCAAGGAATTCTCCAGGCAAGAATACTGGAGATGGTTGCCATTTCCTTCTCCATGGGATCTTCCTGGCCCAGGGATTGAACCTGCATCTCCTGCGTTGGCAGGTGTATTCTTTACCGCTGACTCATCAGGGAAGCCCTGTGACCGCCAAGACTAGGTCATAAAAGGCGTCATAGCTTCCACCTTGCACTAGATCACTCACTCTAGAAGAAGGCAGATGCTCTGGTGTGGAGACACTCAGATAGCCCTTCGTGCCAATAGCCAGCAACAGCTCCCGAGCCACATGAGTGAACCACTTCAGAAGTGAATCCTCTAGCCCCAGCAGAGCCTCAGGTGACTGTGGCCCTGGCCAGCCTCATGGGAGACCTCGAGCTAGAGCCACCAGCTCCTTTGCTCCTGAACTCCTGAGCCGACAATGTGTGGGAGAGTAAATAATGGTTGCTTCCACTGCTACGTGTTGGATCTTCAAGCTCAGTCCTGGCTGGCACTGTGGTGCCTACAAAATGTTCCCCACCTCTACAGGGCTCTGACCTTTGATCACTAGACCCCATTCAACCACCTTATTTCAGACCAATCAAGTGCCCAGGGCAATTTACTATGAATGCTTTTTTATAAAAAGTAATGACAGAAAAAAAAAAAAAGAAGTACAGAGACATAAGAGATCCATGGAGAATGACCTCCCAATGTTACCACCTAGAATGAATAAATTGAAAATTTTTTTAAAATAAGCATTCAAAAAAAAAAAAAAGTAATGACAGGACTTCCCTGGCAGCCCAGCAGTTAAGACTTTACACTTCTGCTGCAGGGAACACGGGTTCAATCCCTGGTTGGTGAACTAAGATCCTGCATGCCACACAGTGAGTCAGCGGGGGGGGGGGCAGGCAGGGAAGTAATGGCACATAGACATCTTATCCGTAAAAGAAGATGGACTTTTGAGGGAGAAGAAAAGGGGCTAATAATATTTTTCAGAGGTCCTGTGAGGCCCTTTACCTTCATTTTAGCTGTGAATACAGGCCTGGTAATACCTGTTTGCAGGACTTTTGTGACAATTAGAAATAACATTTATTAGGAGAGTAGGATGTGCTGAGCCATAACTGTACTTAGTATTCAAGCCTCAGAACAGCCTTCTGAGATGAGTCTCTTTTTCTCCCCATTTTACACATTGGGAGACTGAGGCACACAAAACTTACACGAATGCCCACAGCCAGAGGAGAGACCAGCAGGGCCGCCTGAGACAAGTGAAAATGAGTGAACCCAGGGAAAGCTACACCCTGTCTGTTGACCTTCCCTGCAGGTCTTAGTTGAAGTCTCTTCTTTCTCTCAGATACACACACACACACACACACACACACACACACAGACATCAGTGTGGCAAGTACTTTGGCTGCAGCCCAAAGTGGCTTGCTATAAACCCACAGTTCCTTTTTTTTCTTTCCTCCAAGGAAGAGACATAATAAAAGCTATCCTCAATGAGAAAGTGGAGAAGGAACAAGTTTATTCCAGAGCAGTACTTGAAAACCCCCAGTGTGAAGCAGCCTAGGAGGAAAGGGCCCCCCTTTTTTTCTAGGGGCCCTCTCTTACAAAGTTGCAGGAAAGGATAAACTGAACAATGCTCCCTAATGGCAGTCTAGCAGGAACTGTCAACATTCTAACCTTGGCCTGAGCGATAACCATTTCTGGGAATCTTTTCTACAGAAATTCTACTGGAAGAGCCCAAAGATACACAAAAAGAGACACCCTGCCATGCTGTCTGTGACTGAAAAACAAAACAGCCTACCTGTCTACCCACAAGCAAATATTGATATATCTGTGCTGCAGAAACCCAAAGGGCTGTTAGAAAGAGCAAGGTAGATTGAAGGAATGGACATTGAAGGACTCCATGATCGTACTGGGGGAAAAAGCAAGTTGCAGAATAAGATTTAATTTACTAATTATATTTAACTAAGCTGGAATCAAGATTGCCGGGAGAAATATCAATAACCTCAGATATGCAGATGACACCACCCTTATGGCAGAAAGTGAAGAGGAACTAAAATGCCTCTTGATGAAAGTGAAAGANCCAGAGAAAGCTCTGCTTTTAAAGGGACAATAAAGGACCTCTTCCCTTGAAGGTTTTAAAGTTTTAACAAAATGGTCTAAAATTGTGTGTTTGGTCTATCCAAAATTTTATCTATGAATGTAGGTGAAATACATTAACACCAGAGATAAAAAGCATATATTCATACAACTCTGAACCTAGTAGACTCTCAATAAGTAATTATCTAGTAAAGATTTTAAAATTAAAATAAATAAGGGGGCTGGTGTGATTAGATGGGGCTTCCCAGGTGATGCAGTGGTAAAGTATCCACCTGCCAATGCAGGAGATGCAAGAGACACAGGTTTGATTCCTGGGTCAGGAAGATCCCCTGGAGAAGGGAATGGCAACCCACTTTAGTATTCTTGCCTGGAAAATCCCATGGACAGAGGAGCCTGGCAGGCTACAGTCCATGGGGTCATGAAGAGACGTACACAACTGAGGGACTAACATTTAACAGCTATGGGTATGTGTTTGCAAATACAAGAAAAATGTCTGGAAAAATCTAGATGGATATAAAAATTAATTGTGATTATCTCTGAGATGTGGAATTGTTTGAGGGAAGGAGTGGACGACACTTATTTGGGGACTATACTGTTTAATTTATGAACAGGTATTATCGTCATACTAAGACTTTTTTTTAACTGTGTTTGTTTTTGTTTTTAAATATTTTGGTTGCGCGGGGTCTTTGCCGCCGCGCTCGGGCTCTTTCTAGCTGGGTTCGCGCTCGGGCTCTCTCTAGCTGGGTTCACGCTCGGGCTCTCTCTAGCTGGGTTCGCGCTCGGGCTCTCTCTTGCTGGGTTCGCGCTCGGGCTCTCTCTAGCTGGGTTGGGGGGGTACTCTTGGGGCGCAGGCCTCAGCAGTTGTGTGGCACGTGGGCCTTAGTTGCTCTGCAGCAGATGGGCTCTTCCAGGACTGGGGATTGAACCCATGTCCCCCTGCACTGGTATGTGGACTCCTATCCTCTCTACCACCAGGGAAGCCTCTAAGATTCTTTTTTAAAAAACAGGAAAAAGATCTTTGTATCAAAGGCAGCATGAGACTGGCTGTTGGTTTGTTGGCAGAGGGAGTGGGCAGAGGTTGAGGCCGAGATCAGATGAGGCCGAGATGAGACAAAGACATGGTATCTCTACGGCAGCCACCGGCCTCTCCACAGAGCTCCCAAGAAATAAATTTAAAATAAAACCTGCACTGAGGTGACGTGAATACACCTGCACTGTTGGCTGTGAAGGCGCGCTGACATCAGTAGCACTTCCCAGCCGAGGCACTCAACCTCCCATCACCATCTGCTTTTTGGTTCTAAAAAGGTTAGCATTTCTGTTTCCTTAGTTCATGACCAGACCCCTTGAGCCTCTTGTCTAGTGTCTTCAGGCATCTCAAGAGCCTGCCTGCCCAGCAGCACCGGGTCACAGATTATATAGCAGGGGGATAACCAGCCCATCTTATGAATTGGGTCTCCAAGATCGCCAGGATGAAATCCAGACCTGCGGTATCTCAGAATGTGACCTGGCTTGGAGACAGGGATTTTACACAAATAATGCAGTTAAAACGACCAGAATGACCATTGTCCCTCGACGAAGAGGTCAGGACCCAGATACACGGAGAGGACGGCCATCCACAAGCCCTATTCTTGCAACTGTTATCTACATTTGAAACTTTTTCAAAATACAGTTAAAACTTTAAATAAAGATAGGATGAAAGAGAGTCCAGCTCCTGGGAAGCCGACAGCAGATCCTGGGGGGCAGAGGCTGGAAGGACCTGCAGGCAGCTTCTAGGCAAGAGGGTTGCAACGTAAGTCCAGTTTTTCAATGACTTTATTTTACCATGACTACCCCTCCAAATGTCTACTGTCCCTATAATATTTAAGGATCCTGGACTATGAATCTAGAAAGAATCAAGGACGCAGTTCCTGTCTGACAAGTAATCGAGGAAAGCCTCACGTGGCTTCTGCTGACCGTCAGGCTTGGCTTTTACAGTCCAGCCAGAGGAAGGTCTCTTAGAGTCTGGGAATGTGGTCTCCTCTCTCCATCAGCCTGGAAGGCTCACTTGATTTAGCAGAACAGTTCAAGATCAGGCTTCCCCCCAACCAGTCCTCACCTCCGATGATCTGCCCCAATGGCATCTGTGACTCTGGCGAAACCCTGCTCCCTGGAAAAAGAACAAAACCATTTCAGCAAATGGTAAAGGAAAGCCTAGCTCTTACTGGAAGGCAACATTCAATCAGGCTCTGTCTGGTCGGTGACTGAGCTTGCCTCGCTATCCCAAACACATGCCTCATCCCCTCTGAACTATCTTCACCCAGGAATCTCCCCAGGTCTTCAGACAAGGAAGGGAACCCACTGTAAGTACTGACAGCTCCCTGACCTCAAACCAGTGTTACCGAATTAACAGGAACGTGGCCAGAACTCCTTAGGCCTATAAACACCACTGTCTTGGAAATAAATCTTCAATTCTTTGGCACTGTATGACCTTTGTCAAAAGAGCAACAGGAAAATTTCCCCCTGCATTTGCTCAGATGCTTTTTGAATGAAGAATACAGACAGGTGAAATCCCCTTGATTGAGTCATTCTGAGTTGGTTGATACCACATTAACGTCGCCTGGTTCAAGCCACACGTGGCCCCACTCACTTCAAAAGGGCTTCCAGCTCCCGCTTGACCCCACCCACCACGGGCGGGCCCCGGTAGGTGAGGGCCGTGTACAGCTGCACCAGGGAGGCTCCCGCCCGGATCTTCTCCAGCGCATCCTGCCCGCTGCTGACACCGCCAACCCCGACGATGGGAACTCTGCCTGCAAAGAAGTGCACGGGACACGGTGAGGAAGGGAGGGCGAGACGTGAAAACAGAAGCTCAGTCTGGCCCCAGCCCCAGCCCCTGCTGAGGGCAGTGCTTCAGGAACCCCAGTCCCATCACAGCCCGGAGCCCGCGCACACAGCGCTCTGCAGACAGACGCGGAGTCCTTGCCTTGGGTGAGTGCATACATCTCCCGGATGGTTTGTGTTGATAAATCCCTGAGGGGTTTCCCACTCAGCCCTCCTCGTTCAGAGCGCAGGGCACCCTGGAGGCTGGCAGGGCGACTCTCTGTGGTGTTCGTGACGACCAGTCCATCGATGCCCAACTGCAGGGGGAGACAGAGAAGGAGCCCCCCCGGTCAGGGCCTGACGGACTTAGAGACGCTTCCCTGGAGGTCTGAGACAGCAGCAGGCCGGGCGCCCACACCTGAGCCCCCGGAAGCCAGAGCCAGACCAGGCCTGGCTCATTATACTTCCTGGGCAAGTGTCAGAATGAGCCTCAACGTGACAATAACAGCCATCACGTACCAACTGTACAGTTCCACCAGGATGGGGCTTAGTCCTTAGAACAACTCAAACTAGAGGGTCCTGTGCCAAGGCCTGCAGGTAGTAAGAGGTGGAACTAAGACTTGAAGCAGAACTGCGGGGCTCGGTCTGGGTTTGCACTGGTCTCCAGTGACACCGAGACCCGGTGTTAAACTGGAGACAGAGCACTGCAGTCTGACCAAGGCTGGAGAATGCACAACCTTTAAAGCCCTTGCTGGAGGAAGAGGGAAGAAGCAGGAGAAAAGGACCTGTTCAAACACTGATTCAAACATTTACTTTCTTATTACCAGCATATCTCATTTTATGGCACTTCACTTCATTGTGCTTCACAGATACTGAGTTTTTTGCAAGTTGAAGCTTTGTGGCAACCCTGCGGGTATCAGATAATGGTTAGCATACTTTCAGCAATAAAGTATTTTTTAATTCAATGACATACATTGTTTTGGACTTCCCTGGTGGTCTAGTGGGTAAGACTCCGTGCTCCCAATCCAGAGGCCTAGGTTCAGTTCCTGGTCAGGGAACTAGATCCTGCATGCCGCAACTGAGTTCACATTCTGCAACTAAGACCCAGCGCAAGCATGTCAGGATGGCATGTCAGAGTGGTCTAAGGCGCCAGACTCCAGGTGTCTAAGACCCAGCGCAGCCAAAATAAGTAAGTAATTAAACAAGTAAATATATATTTTTTAAGGGGAGGGGCAGTTCCCAGAATAGAGCTATCACCAGAGATATCTGCAAGGATCACTTTTTAAAAAATAAAAGGTATGTACATTGTTTTTTTAGATGCAATGCTATTGCACACTGAACAGGCTATACTAGCAGAGTCTATGTGCCCTGGGAAACCAAGAAGTTCCCATGACTTGCTTTTTTGCAGTGGCAGAACTGAACCTCCTATATCTCTGAGGTATGCCTACATATGAACAGAGGAGCCTGGCAGGCTACAGTCCATGGGGTCGCAAAAAGTCAGACATGACTCAGTGACTAAACAATAATGCCTATGTGTGATACACTGAATTATAGCGGACCAAACCAGCCCTCAGGATAACAGGAACTGCCATGCAGGCTAACCCAGCCGGTCAGGTAGCCTCTACAGACAGTGAGGGTGTCCCCAGGCCCCGACCCTCACCTCTCTCACCACGCTGGCAATATCCTCCTTGTTCTGAGCTGTGAGGTCGGGCGCAATCTTCACCAGGACAGCTGGCTTGTGGGCCACCTTCAGGGCATCCCTCTCCTGCAGCACCTACAGCAACATGGGGCCAGAGATGGGGACCCTGAGCCTGCAGCCTACAGTGTGACCGTGACCTGCAGCCATAGACAGTGCGTCTCCACCCCAACTGTCAAACTAAGGCACCAGCATTTCTCCTTCTTGGGAAACACCACTTTCAGTTATGCAAACAGCCCCATCAAGATAGATCTGATCCCATTGTTTTAAACCAAGGAATCCCCGAGAGTGAGTCCCTAATGTCACTGGTATTGGCTAAAACATTAAGGTTTATTTAGACTTTTGTCCCTAAAAGAGACAGCAAATACTGTCACAAATACTGTTTGATGAAAAGTCATTCTATCATTCAATGTGCTAGATGCTGGGAACAGAGTGGCAAATGAGAGAGATGTGGTCCCCTCTCATCGATATTGTAGATTAACAGCAGGGATAGATAACTGAACAGTTGATTAATACTGAGCACAATCAGTGTTATATAGGGGATCAGAGGGAAGTGAGGGGTCCTAACTGGTCCAGGTCTTAAGGACAACTCCTCGATAGTAGATAGCGATGCTGAAGCTGGGCCCTAGAGAATGAACAGTAGGTCAAACTAGTGGAGCGGGGCCTGGACATGTAATTGCCCACCTTGGTCAGCAGGCGGCGCAGTTCAGCCTTTCCCTGAAGGCTCCGCAGCCCAGCCGTGTTGGGACTGGACACGTTCACTACCAGGTAGTCAGCCAACGGACCCAGGACTCGAACCCCCTCTGCGTAGTCGGAGGCAGCGTCCACCGAGGTCTTATTCTTCCCCAGGTTTATTCCCAGCGGCAGCCCATCTGTAAATATCACTGGTCAGGATTTTGTCCCCACTCACCATTTCCCACACGATATTTTGAAGCCGTCCTTGACCAGCAGCCCATGAACAGCCCAAGGCCTTCCAGCTCCAAATGTGCCCTTGCCCACACCAGCTGACAAATCCTGAGCTATGCATGGTGCCCTGCCTGCCAGCCTAAACCCACCCTCCACTTTCATCTGCGCAGCTACTAGGATGTTTTACTGCTCTCTTTGCGCCCTTTTTCTTTTTTTAAATTTAATGGGGCATGGAGACATTAGGAGTGCAAATACTAGTGATGAAAAAGGCAGGGCTCATAAATGGAGCACAGCTGGGAAGAGACAAGTCAACAGCAAGCCAGAGGACAGCTGTTGACTCTCAGGGGCTGCTTGCTGCACTTGGGTCAAGTGACTGGGTGTGTGGTTGTGAAGAAAACGCAAAATTAAAGGATACATATAAAATAGACTGGAAAATATTTTCGATTCTCATGCCTAAAATGAAGAGGCATAACAGTGTTATCATTTCCGTCCCGAGACGGGACTCCCCTTATAATTAAGGTGACTGCACATCCAGAGCTTCCAGGCCAGCCCTGAACACTCCTGTAGCCTGGGCATAATTACCCATGCCTGTGTCCCTTCCACTCCCAAAAGTGTTATCTCAGCATGCACAGTAGCTAGTATGGTTACCTTACTCTAAAATACAGGGAATTATCACCTGACTTGTATTTCTGACTTTCAGTGTGTTTCCGAAAGGTATTTTTCTATGTGTGAAAGCAAGGGTTTGTCTGTACTTGATTTCTCCTGGGATGGCACCTTATCTGCAAAGGATAAAGTGTATCCACGGTGCCAGCTGTTTTTCCCACCAGTTGGCTGAAAGAAGATCTGAGACGTCCAGCTAGTTCACAAAACGTGCCAGGTCAGGGAGGGTCCTGCTATCACACACTGTAAATGCAGTCCCTGTTTTATCATCAGCTTGAATGTAAATGAGATTCGTGTAGCTAATTTCATAGGTGGAGGGGAGGAGAGGGAACCCAATTAGACAAGTTATATAACAGGGTCTCCAAGCTTCCCAAATCAAGCTAAGATGGTTTGGAAGCTGTAATTTTTTTCCACCAGGCAAACTGATTTAAAAGAGAATATCATTTTCATGTAGCCAGTGGGTCTTTCATTAGTAGTCATTTGCCCCAAATGACAACATTTGGGGGTTAGACAAAAACTGCTGAATTACTCTATCTCCAAAGGGCACCACAGCTTTTAACAATTCAAGTTTATTGGCATGATGCAGGCGATTAAGCTGTCTTCAAGGCTTCCAGCTGCTGCTAACCACAATGTGCAGAGCTCTTCTGTGGGATTTTGCTTCATTCCAACAAATGTTAGCACCAGAGTGGGGGTCAAGGGGTCGGGCAAGGGAGTACAGAGGAGAAAGGTGGCATAAAGGGCACTGTGGACAATTAAAAGAAGGAAAGGCAGGCCAGGCAGGAGCGTATCACACACCATGACAGTGCTGCCGTGACCTGCAAGTCGCCCTGAGTGGCAAGGTCTACGGTATAGCAGGGTCTGGTTCTACCGAAGCCAGGGAGTTCCCAGCAAGGCCACTTCCTACTCCCCAATTCAGGGTTGCTAACTTTCAATCTTGCTTCTAGAAATGAAGCCAATATCCACAGGTTTTTTTCATCTCACCATCAGGACATCTAACGAAGCTAAACTTCTGGAAGGCATTCCAGAGGGGCCTGCTGAAAGAGGAAGACGGCCGTAGCCTCACCCAACCCCAGAGGATGCCTAGGAAGATACGGTGAAGACACCTCTGTGCCAGGACCACTACATGCCCCCCAAGGGATAGTAGGGCAGAGAGCCCCAGGAACGAGCATCAGCACCCCCAAAGGTGGCCTTTGAAAGTGCATGGTGTTTCCAGAGAAGTCATGAAGGATACTTTCCCAATGCTGGAAATAGTTATCCCTGAGTGGGGAGGAGTGTGAGTAATGTTAGTGTTCTTCTTCATGTTTCCCTGCATTTACTAACAGTTCTATCATTAGCATGCATCACTTCTATAATGGAGAAAGGACAACAGAGCAGGATGTACGAAGAAGGCACCCAGGTCCTGCTCGTGGCCACAGAGCGGCCCCTCTGCACTAAATCGCCCACTTGTGACACAGGTTATGTAACGAAGCAGGAACGAAGTGTTATCTTTGTTCAATTGCAAAGTTCAGTTAAAAGCTTGGATGCTGTAGTGGAGCCAGGAAAATTCCTCTAGGAGAGGAGCCCTGAGTTCCACACTTTTTTTTTTTTTCTTGTTGCTCAATCGTGTTCACTTCACTGGGAACATTCCTGACTTTCTCCCACAAGTTTCCTTCCAACAGCTGAGGAACCGCCCTCTGATGCAGTGCCCTTTACCTTCTGTGAGCCTGGCCTGCGTCTGCTGTCTGGCCCGTAACCTGTGTTCCACCACTGAGAGTCCATGACTGTTAAATCCGTATCTGGAGCACAGGAGAGCACAAGGAGAGAGACACAGTTAGGACCTCAGGCAGGAAGCAAAGACTAGAGAGATGGCGATGGCTCCTCGACCATTTCACCATGTGCGTGCATGCTAAGTCGCTTCGGTTCTGTTCAATTCTTTGCGACTCTGGACTACAGCCTGCCAGTCTCCTCTGTCCCTGGGATTCTCCAGGCAAGAATGCTGGAGTGGGTTGCCATGCCTTCTTCCAGGGGAGCTTCCCCGACCCAGGGATCAAGCACATGTCTTGTCTCTGATGTCTCTACATTGGCAGGCAGGCTCTTTACCACTAGCGCAATCTGGGAAACCCATTTCACCATATATTTGTGACATAAAAACAAAAGCAAAAATCAGAGTCAGTTATTAGACTTCTACAGTCTAAACACCCCAGGAAGTCCTAGAGAACTTGCCAGAACACCATCAAGCATAGAGGGAAAAATTACAATTTGCCAACAAGTCACTCAGCCAACTAGTACTGTAAACAGCCCAGACTCAACAACGTAGCTGCCCTCAGACCTGTCTGGATCCAGCCCCTCATCCTTCCCATCCACTGCTCCCACGCAGTGGGACCTCACCACTCTGATAACCTCTCCTCCCGCCTCCTGCCTCGCCCCACAGACTCGTCTCCTGGAACCCACCCTGCCACTCCATTTCCGCATCCTTTCTCTCATCCAGTCGCCCTCTTCCTGGCCCAAGTCAAATGCTCCCTCGCCTCCTGGCATGCACGGAGTGCTCTATACCCATCTTCCTCCTGGCTGGGGATGTACATAAAGGTTGCCACTCCCTACTGGGTTACAGTCGTTCTCGAGGACAGGAGACAACATCTTCTCTATCACCTGCCACTGGACACTCCACCAAGGCTGAGCCTCATGTCTCTCATCTCTAGTGCCCAGCCCACCGAGGGGTGCTGCTCTAATAGCACCCCCTCCCCTCCTCCTCCTCACCAGTGGAACCCAGCTCCCCTGACCCAGCGTGAAAATGCCAGTGACGTGTGATGGGGCTTGGTCACTGAGACACAAAGTGCTGCCGACCAGGGAGCTTCTGGGAAAATACCCTCCTCCCCCCACATCCATACTTCCTTTTCCTTTCGCTCTCCGATGTCCTCCCGTGAGGACATATGCTTGCAGCTCAGGCTGCAAGAAGCAAAGGCCCACAGAGGTTGGACCAAAGTCCTGACACCACCCCACTGCTCAACCAACCCTAGAACTGCCTACTATACCCCTTATGAGAAAAAATAACACACACCCATTACTACTTAACAGTAAGTAAGTTCTGCGCCAGAAACACCTAACAGATACATGTACTCACTGACTCTGTTCATTCAGCACCCACCCTGGGCCAGACACGCCTGGAGCCGGGAACACAAGAGCTCGGAGCTCAGGCCCTACTCTCTCGGGCCGCTTCTCACACACTGGTTCCTACCAGGCCCCGTCATCCTGGTACCCACGGTCATTTGTGGCAGGTGAATCATAAACATTTTTTACCTGACCATTCTGAAGCTATCGATCCCACTTTACAGGGGGAAAGATCAACAACTTAACATCTAACGCTGGAAATTTTCCCTGAAACAAGCACAGTAAAGCAGGAGGTGCAGCCAGATAAACCTTCCATACGCCAGCCTCCCAGCAGGCCCTTCATGATCCCAAAGGTGCCTCCCAAACCTCCCCAGCCCCAGCCCCCCACCCCTGCCAAGGAGGCTCTCAAAATACTGTTATCAGAAAGGAGGAACTTCTCCACTTTCTGGGTTTGCTGTAGTGAAAACTGCCCAGGGGTCCCACATAGAAGGGCTTTACACAATCTAGAAGGGTCTCACTTCCTAAAAGCAGCTGTCTATATTGATTATTGCCTTCCCCAGTTACTGAAGGAGGGGCTGTGGTGTCCAAACCACTAACCACATGCGGCCACTGAGAGTGAAGCCTGGCCAGTCAAAATGAGACCGCTATAAGGATGACATGCTGGATTTCAAAGGCTTGGTACAAGTGAAAGAAGGTAAGTAGCCAGTCATGTTTATATTGCTTACATATTAAAAGTATATATTAAGCATTTACAATTAAGTAGTATAATAAATAACTATTTCAAATAAAGTAGTAGAATATATTATTAAAGTTTATTTTAATTTCACCTGTTTCTCTTTACATTTTTATGGTGGCTACTAGAATACTTTAAATTACATACAGGACTCCATAATATTTCTACTGGACAGAGCTGGGCAAGGGTGCTGGAAGTAACAACGTGGAAAGAGCACACACTCTAAAGTCAAGTGAGCCAACATCCACACCCACGTTCTCCTGCTTGTGACCTTGTGACTGTAGCTGTTATGTAGTCCTCCGAGCCCCAGCATGTATACACGTTAAACTGAAATCAGAAAACCTGCTTTTATGCTCAATATGATTCCAGAACATGCCAAATGACAGAAAAATGTCCACGTCTTATGGCCGCTCACCTACCTGTTAATGATAGCTTGGTCTTCTGGGAGGCGGAAGACCCTGGGCCTGGGGTTTCCTTCCTGAGGTTCTGGGGTTACACTGCCTATCTCAACAAAACCAAAGCCCATCTTGTAAAGGCCATCCACCGCTTCCCCATTCTTGTCAAATCCTGCAGCAATTCCCACTGGATTTCGGAATTTATGGCCAAGGACTCTCACTTCCTAGGGAGAAGGAAAGAAAGTCACAGCCAGAGAAAGCCATTCTAGTGTTCCTTAAAGCATGGTCCCCAGAATCGCTTGCCTGTTAAACCTCAGGTCCCAGGGCCCATCCCTGGACTAAGGAATCAGAGTCTTTGTTGGTGGGGGGCAGAATGGAACTCCGAGGGAATCGATCTTTATCAGTGCTCTCCAGCTGATTCTGATGCCAGCCAGAGTTCGAGAACCATGAGGCTTTATCATCACCAAGGAGACAAACAGCATTCCCACCATGGGTTGAACAGGAGATTGGTGCTGCCTTTTCCAATCACAGTTAAGGACTGTACCTTCTTATCCACTATCTTTGGTGGGAGAGAGTGGCTCATTGGTTTCAGCCCCTAGTGGGTGCTATTCAGAAACAGGCAGCAAGATCCTTTCATCATCTTAGTAAGTCAGCCTCCTCTGTGTCCCTCCTCCTCAGCCAGGCGACACGAAGGCCCAGCAGAGTCCCCAGGACTCCTGTCCTCGGCTGGGCAGCTCTGATTGCTGGGCCCCAGAACCAGGCTGGGAGGACCAGGTTCTTCCCTGTCAGACGTGGGCTGGATTCCTGATTGTTCATTAGAATGAGAATGATTTGGGCCTAGTTACTGTCAGGGCTAGTCCGACTCCCGAGTGATTCAGGATCACCCTGATGGAAGCCAACAAATCTAGTAGCAAGACAGATACATTAAAAGATGGGAAAGGCATCAGGCTATCATAAAGCCAGCAGCTGCCAATGGAGTTGTCTCTGTCAGCTGATATTGCAGGAAAGCCTTTGCCGGGACTAGCAAGGGTCCCAGGCTGACGCCATCTGGTCCCAGAACCAGAAAGAAGAAAGGCTGCTCCAAAGATGGAGGTGAGTGTGTGCATGCGGTTCCTCAGGGACTAGGAGGCCGGGGGCCGCGTTGACCCCAGCTGCACAACAGGACCCCCAGGCAGCCCTCGGTCCTCAAAGCCCAGAGATGATGGTCAAATGGGGCTGGCACCAGTCTAGAGCACTGTGTGCAGGTCTTCCTTGCTTTCCCAAAGTTTTCTTTATGCCACTTGGCTTTGCTATGAAAGAGCATTGGTGGGAGAGAGTGGCTCATTGGTTTCAGCCCCTAGTGGGTGCTATTCAGAAACAGGCAGCAAGATCCTTTCATCATCTTAGTAAGTCAGCCTCCTCTGTGTCCCTCCTCCTCAGCCAGGCGACACGAAGGCCCAGCAGAGTCCCCAGGACTCCTGTCCTCGGCTGGGCAGCTCTGATTGCTGGGCCCCAGAACCAGGCTGGGAGGACCAGGTTCTTCCCTGTCAGACGTGGGCTGGATTCCTGATTGTTCATTAGAATGAGAATGATTTGGGCCTAGTTACTGTCAGGGCTAGTCCGACTCCCGAGTGATTCAGGATCACCCTGATGGAAGCCAACAAATCTAGTAGCAAGACAGATACATTAAAAGATGGGAAAGGCATCAGGCTATCATAAAGCCAGCAGTTGCCAATGGAGTTGTCTCTGTCAGCTGATACTGCAGGAAAGCCTTTGCCGGGACTTAGCAAGGGTCCCAGGCTGACGCCATCTGGTCCCAGAACCAGAAAGAAGAAAGGCTGCTCCAAAGATGGAGGTGAGTGTGTGCACGCGGTTCCTCAGGGACTAGGAGGCCGGGGGCCGCACTGGGGGCCGCGTTGACCCCAGCTGCACAACAGGACCCCCAGGCAGCCCTCGGTCCTCAAAGCCCAGAGATGATGGTCAAATGGGGCTGGCACCAGTCTAGAGCACTGTGTGCAGGTCTTCCTTGCTTTCCCAAAGTTTTCTTTATGCCACTTGGCTTTGCTATGAAAGAGCTACATTAGTAACCTGTTTTCTCTAACCAAAAGGAATCCAAAGAAAATTTTCACTGTTCTGAAAAAAGGTGACACACACATCTTCTCAAAACTGCAGGATGGGAAATAAAAGAGATACGAAGACGCAAAGGGAAAATGTAGGGAAGGCCACTTTGATGGATAATAGTGACCCTTCTCCAGAGAGGTCTGAGGGCTTCTTGGTGTTTTCTTCACATTCACATCATTCTTATGTCCCCCATCTGGTATGAATCTCTTCAGTGGAAACTGTCAGGGCTTACATGAGGATGTAGATTCTAGGAGGACGTGCATTCTTCCACTTTGTTTGCTGCAGAAACCCCAGCACACAGAAGCCTAAGGGGACACATGGCGCCCGTGATTAAATGCAGGAAGGAATGAGGCTGGGACAGGAGCTGTATGCTTTCCTCAAAGGGCTTGGCTAGACATCCCTTCATCACATTCGATGCTAGTGATGCTGGCATGCTTCCCTTTTCAGCAGAGGTGAATTCTGAGCTACCTGAGACCTCGGTGAGGCAGGGATGGCAGCTAAGGGGAAGGATGCTGAGCCAGACTCCATGGGTGTGGATCCTGGCTCAGCCACGTCCTGGCTGGGTGCCTTTGGGTAAGTCACTTAACTCCTCTGCGTCTCAGTGTTCCTGATCTATAGATGGGGATGACAGTTTGGGGGCTAACTTGAGATTCTGGTTTCCAAAAGGATCAGCCCCAGCTGAATAAATTAGGAGACTTTGACCTTGACCTTTATATCTATTGCACAGGTGTTATAGGAGCACCTACCAGCATGTCAGAGTCTTGAAACGCGGTGCGAGGAAGGAGCCCCAGGGAGGTGAAGCGAACAGCCAGCCTGTGGGCTGTCTCGGGGTCCAGCAGCCGCTGCAGAGCCGGCATCAAGAGTTCAGCGTAGAAATGCTCATCCCCCGTGGCCGTCAAGTAGGAGGCGAAGAGAAGTCCTCCGCCCCCCAGGATCACCATGGCATCCTGGGCCCGCTTCTAGAAAAAAGAGCCAGTGGGATCCCCTCAAGGCCAGGCTGAGGCACCACCTCTAAACTCTTCACACACTTTGCATGCTCACAGGGAACATAACGGCCTTCACATTCAGTCACGTTCCTAGCCTTCTGCTAATGCTGGTCTCCTCCGTTCCTACTCGCATATTGGCCTTTACAGGCAGAGGCTGTGTCTGCACTTCTGCACTCACTCCTCTGCCCCAAAGGACTCCAGGCCAGGGCTTTCAAGAGCGGCAGTACCCCTGGGGCATGCAGTGGAAATCGGAGGAGACTGGTAATAGATTTAGTGAGTGGGTGTCAGTAAAGTCAGAAGTGCCTCTATAACTTTTGAAAACCCTACTGACAGTCACTAGGTACAAATATCTGTTCATACTACCTTAGCCTAGAACCACAGATTCTATTTCCCCACATAAACACAATCCTATGTGGTTTTCATCTGCATTGACTTTCCAGAAATGCAATTACCTTGTTGACTGAGGGCTCACCATACTGTTTAGCAGAGAACATTAACAAGAATCACGCATCATCTCAGAAGACACTCCTGTGGCACTAGAATTTCTAAGTAGAGGCTTACACACCTGACCCACCACCTAGATGACTCATGCCCTAATATTTATGGGTCAAAATACATATTATTATAAATTCATTTCTCCTTTATATTCCACTTAGGACATTATGTTGACCTGTTAAATTATATATAGAAAGATTGCCTTATACAAAAGTTCCACTTCAGGATGCAAAAGAGGGTTGCAAAAAAATTTTTTTAAGGTCTTTTTTTAAATTTTATTGAAGTATAGTTGATTTATAATGTGTTAATTTTTGCTGTATAGCAAAGTGATTCAGATATCCATATATATTTTTTTTTTCATATTTTTCCATTATGGTTTATCACTGGATATTGAATATAGCTCCTTGTGCTATACAGTAGGACCTTCTTGTTTACCCATCCTTTATATAATAGCTTGCATCTGTTAAGCCCCAATTCCAGTCCTCCCCTCTTCCACCTCTCCTATCCCTTGGCAACAACTCTGTTCTTATATCCAACATCAGGTCTTCTGGCACAAGCTCAAACATTGCTCATAATACTTTACTTATCACTGCCAGGCGCTGAGTCACTCACTCATTCACCCCATAGTAACTGTGCACTCAACGATGGATTCCAGGCTCAAGTCCCTGCCTTCATGAGTACAACATCAGGAGGAGAGAGAAATCAATGATCATGCAAACGTACAGCTGTGACAGTGCTATGAAGAAAAAAGTGATGGAAGCATCTAACCTAATCTCAGAGGTAGGGAAAGGCTTCCGTGAGGAAGTGTCTTAAAGCTGATATTCAAAGAATAAATAGAAGTTAGCTAGGCGCCAGGGCTGGGGCTGGGGAGGGGACGATGGTAACGGCCCTCTACGCTCTAGGCAGCAAAGGAGAATGAGATGCACCCAATGAATGGGGAAAGGGGAAAGGTTTGTCTGGAATCAAGGAGTGAGGAAAATTACAGCTTAAAAATAAGCTGGGGAGGCAAGCAGGGGTCTTGGCCAGAATAAAGTTTTGGGTTTGGTTCCCTAAACAAGGAGGTGACCTGATCAGCTTTGCCTTTAAGGGTCACTCCTAGCGGTCAGCATTGATCTAGTATTCATTGTCTACACTTCTAGCCTCCTCCAGGAGATTGCAGGAACGCCCCTTGAGTAGATCCACAGATAGCAGAGTGCCGTTACAAAAACCCTGCCCTAAAAGTTTATCTAAAAAGGCTGGCACTATGTTTTACTGTAATTTCATTGCAGGTTGGATCCTGCACACAGTGCTAGGTGGTCCTGTGTTCACTAGGCGTCCCCGGCTTAGTTCAATAAAAGCCCACGTGCTCTTACACAGATCAGCATCTACACTGCTTACACGCACTATTTACACAGTGACCACGTACGCATGTAAATGCACGCTCAGGACCATCAGCAGGCGTCCGCAAAGCTACACACACTACCCTAAAAGGCCCACACTCTCGGATCCCGCGCCCGTCCACACCTCGCCCAAACCAGCCCTTCATGCTCCCCTCGCCCGGCTTCCCGCCCGTGCTTTTCCACGCTGCCACATTAGCAGCAGCAGCTGTACTCACTTTGAGCAGCCTCCACGCCATGCTCCTGCCGCCTCTGGGCCCGCCTCTGGCTCGTTTCCATTGGAGGAGACGGAGATGTCCTCTAATCCCCGGCCCGCGGAGGGGAAGGCTCCGCTCCGCCCGGAGAGTCTGATTGGACGTTCACGCGCGGGCGCGTTCGCAGTGTACACGCCTCTTCCGCCCGCCTGCCTCCCGGAGTCTGTGCTGCGGGGCAGGGCGCTGTGGCTGGGACACCTTGCACGGCGTTCCAGCATCCTGGGTCCGCAGAGACGACTCCCTGTATGTTGAGTCTTAGATTCTAAGCAACACTGTCACCAAGTTTCTGATCGCTCAAGTTAAACATTTTAATGATAAGAGTGTGTGTGTTTTAGATAAAGCGTGGGTTGAGAATGTATATAGGGCACTAAAAGGGTTGAAATGAATTCCAGCACTGCGTAAGATACCTGAGTTGACTTTCAAAGAAAATTCCATGAACATCAGGTTTCACTATAAAAATGCCTAAAACGTACGTGTGTATTCGTGTATATATGTTTATAACGATGTCGGGAAAGTAAGACTTTGAGTTTGTGGGCAATTTCTGTGCCCATGTTTATTTGTATTTATGATCTCATTTTGATGCCAAGAAAGAGAACTAGCTAAAGTATATAAATGATGGATGTGCTACAGGTGAAGATCAAATAACATGCTGTATGAACAAAGGTTTTCATTAAGTTAAAACTGATGAGAGTATTTGAGAACTGAAAGTGTCCT